CCAGCGCCAATTGAGTAGCTTCCCCCAGTGTCCAACCTCAGCGACGCTCCCGCGAGCCCTGTCCAGCGAGGCTCCTGCAGGGCAGCGTGGGGACCACAGTTTGGGGTCCCGGGGCCAGAGCTGGTGTGTGTCTGAGAGTGGGAGCTCCTTTGGAAATGCGGCCTAAGGGCTGGTTTGGCGTGTGGGGAGCCTCTGCCCGTGGCCCCACAAGGCAGGACGGAAGAGGGAAGTAGGTTAGGATCGCCCGGGACTCAGATTACGACACTCAAAGAAACAACAGACGCATCCAATATCCTGGCTCCATCCGCCCCAAGCATATGCTGTGTATTTCACACAGAAGAGAAGTTAGGGCCTGCTCAGAATTAAAACCAGGATTAAATGACCTCCTCGGATTTATTTCCCCCACCTCAATGCCTAATTATTGTTACCAGTAATTTATTCACACACATACGGAAATCGTTTATTTAATTTGGTTCTAAATAATCATCTTACATTTATGGCTGAAGTAATGAAAACATGTTATAATAGTGGCTGTGCAAATTGATGTGTAGAGAATATATGTAGGTGTTGCTGTGTCTAGTAAAATAAACATCTGTTGTTACAGATTATTGTTTTCCTATTCTAGAATACCAACTATTTCTCAACTAGCCACCTGAAGTATTTATAGTTATACATTCATGCGTGCCCCATCAACAAAAAGATTTGAAGAAGCAACTTGTTTAAAAGCACTTCCCAGTGCTTTTGATTAATGTTGGCAAACAAAATAACCACACGTACTTTTGACACTTGCAAAAATAACCTGGAAAATCCAAATGGGTCAGAGCTTCCCAATCAGTGTAGCTTAAGTTTCTCCTGTAAATTAAAGTGTATATACTATGAAAACAAAAAAAAACCCTGACAAATAATTTGAACAGTCATGCCCTCCCGCCAAAACTCTAGCTCCTCCCTTTCCCATTTTAAAGTTTTTCTCCCCAGATGCTTGATTGGCTTACCCTATATAACCCCCTTACACCACAGTCTGTCTCAGAACTCTGCCGCGTTTTCTGGACTGGAATCCTGCATTGCTGGCCTGAGCAAGAAGGTGAGTCCCATCTACAGACCAGTTCTCACTGTCTATTTCATTCATTTATGAAATGTGTGGCTGTTTGTGTCCACCTCAGCCTCTCTTGCTTAAATATACAGGCAAGGTATATCGGGAAGGGTCACAGGGTGGATTTTCATCTTAGAGGGGTTTTTTTTGTTGTTGTTAATCCTCACCTGAGGATATTTCTTCCATTGATTTTTAGAGAGAGAGTATAAGGGAGGGAGGGAAGGAGGAAGAGAAACATTGATGTGAGAGAGACACATCCACTGGTTGCCCCAAACGGGGCTTGGGGATCAAACTGGCAACCCAGGTATGTACCCTTGACCAGGAGTCAAACCCTAGGGCCCTTTGGTGTGGGGGTGGGGTCAGTGATTCTCTAGTGATTCTCTGGCCAGGGCAGAGTTGTGGGCTTTTTAAATCTCTTTTAAGACCATACTTTCTGTTGAACTGGCAAGGCGGGTGGGTCTTTCCAGACAGTCTGTACTGACCTTGGGAATTCGAAGGTTCCTCCGGGTTGGGATGTTAGAGAGAAAACTCCTGGAGTCCTGATCTGTTCCGGTCAGGACTGAGGGCTACGGTAACCCTCAGAAGGAAGAGCTGGCTCTGAAATCTGAGCCCCCGCGGAGAAAAGTGACTTGAGTAAGCTGTGGAGGGAAGTTACAAATCAATGTGGTCAACAGAAGAAGCTTAGAACAATAGCAACAGCATTAGCCGCCAAATCAACAACAGGAAATCCAGCTGAAATCTGTTG